CAATCTTATACTCTCAACATTATATCTGGTAAAAAATAGAGGTAGAGCCCTTCCTTTTAGAGAAGATACATTCAGAAATAATGCTGTATCCTTTTCAGTACTATAAGGTTATACTCCTGGAAAATTTAAAACAGGGAGTAAATCTTTATTTTGGTTAACAGATCTACTTTCTAATGATATCAATTAGTGAACTGGAAAATATTTAGCTATCTGAACATGTTAAATCATGCAACTCTGCTACCAAAGCAACACGAAGTAACATTTATCTCCTTAGCTTTTCAAAAGCTGCCTAATCCAACTAAATGTGTTTACACACATGTATGTACAAGTATGCCAATAATTAACATACTGGGTAGCAATTACTGAAAACCTGAGGCAAATAGGCTACATATAAAGGACTCATGAACATCTGAATAATTCTATGCCTAGGAAATATAAATTAATTTTAACTCTCATATCCCATAAGTCCTAGACAGATTTCTTATCAATAGACCTGAGCTCTTTATGAAATATACTTAAATACACCAAGTTTTACCTTACAAATTACATGTCCAAAGCATGATTAAGTGAAGGGGGAAATATTTATTAAATACTAGGGGCAAAGAGTTTCAGAGATATAATTTTGGAAGTGTAAAAAAAGTCTGATATTCAGCTCTCAGCTCATTACCCAGAAGAATGCTCTTCCATCACTTTAGTTTACTAAGACCACTTTCTGAAATACTTTGTCCACATATCTATTGACATATTCTAACTCTAGAGTTAATTTTCAGAAAACAGAGATCCAGTATGTCTTGATTGTCACTGTATTTCTAGCAAACCTATTATTTGCTGAATAAATGGATTTTTCAGTGTACATAAGCCAATCTGGACTACAAGAAAAAAAATCCAAGTTTTAAAGGTATATCAGATATACTATTTTAAGACAGAGGTAGTTTTTTTTTTTTTTGCGCCTTAAAGTGAATAATATATATTAAAAGTGAAAAAATTTCAGGAACCCTCTCCAAATAGAAAAAAACTACTCATAAAATATTTATCCCATAACATTTATACTGGTTAAAAATAACGAGATGAAACGATTTTGAACATGGTAATTTATTTTATGCAGTTTAAATCCATTGTTTAAAAATTTTCAAAGGCACTTTAAAAAACATTTAAAAATACATTTTTCTGACTTAATGGTGATCACTTAAAATAAGCAAGTCACCAAACATTTTTAAATCATTCATAACACTTTAAATAATTATTAAATTTCATAACACATTCACTATATATACAACACACTGCTTAGCAGTAAGATTAGTTTCCCTCTGATAACATACTTCATGTAGATTGTTCATTGTAGGGCCCTGCAAAGTCATTCAAACTTAAATACAAACTGAAAGCTAGAGAAGGAAGGCGAAACAGAGCAAACTTCAACTTTAAAGCTATTTTTAGGGCTGGTTTCTCTAAAGAGAGCTTGTAGAAGTCCTTGTTTCAATTTGTTAATTTCTATTTCAACTCTAATATATAAACATGAGTCATTTTTAACCAAGAGATTATATTTTGCATAAAATACACCACAGGGTGTCTCACAGATTGCTTAAGCATGTTTCTGTCAGGACTATTATAAAGAGGCAAGGAAATGAAGCAAATGATCCAATAACTGTACTTCCTTTAATAATTACAGATTTAGGATTAATTTTTAAAATTGTGCATTGTTAAGTAGGGCAAGTACCCTGAGAACCAGCAGGCATTATTCTTAAAACTTTTTATCTCATAGGGAAGCAAAGTTATTAGGTATAAAATTATCACCAAGTAATACAAATTCTCATCACTAATACAGCCAAATTAACATTATGAAGGCAGCATTAAGAGTAGCTAGAAAGTGGAAGTTAGTTATTAAGGAAACAAAGAAGACAATAAATACAAAAAAGCGGAAACTGTTACAAGACAGAATGATCTATTAAACTGAAAATTTAAATTAAAAATAAAAGTCCAGAATGACCTGATCAAGTGAGGGAGTCTTTCAAGTACAACAGTGCCTCAAAAACAGGTATACAGTTTGATGGGCTCAAGGAAATAAAAGTCAATGTTCAAGAAACAATTATGAAAATAGCTAGCAACTTTAATGCATAAGTCTAATTACCATATTCAAAAACATTAAAAACTGGTCAGTAATTTACTTTCTAAACTTAGTACAATGGCAGAAACCCCTCTGAAATTTAAGGTATTTGAAAATAATCAAATCTTGGAATAAAAACCTATCTATGAACTTTCAACTAGAAAATACCAGCCTGGTATTATTAGAGAAAATACATCAAAAGCCTTATGTTGGTACCACACTGAAATAATTTATCTAAAAGATGGTGAATAAATCAGTTATGAAATCTGATTGCTTGTGCTCTGTTGAATACTTGGAGAATATTTTTGTTTCATTAGATCATACAGGACAAACACTGTATATTAAAAATAGCATTTTGCTATCTACATTTTATCAGTAACACTTCTGTGGACATCTGACAACATTCATTTATGTATGCTCTTTTAATGAATATGCACTTGCTAGTAATTAATGAACCCTTCAAATCCAATGTGAATTTACTGAACTTGAAGAATTAAAGATTTTACAGATTTATTATCAGTTCCCTGATAACAGTCACTCTGGAGAAGTTAAAGAATTTTGCCAAATCAATGATCCACTGAGCCTTTAAATTTTCTTTAAATATTTTATTTTTAATAAAGTGTGAGCCTAGACTGAATTGATATAAAACATGCTTTAAGTTTTTTAAAAATGTCTTACTCATGGGGCAGTTATCCTGAGTTTCAAAGGCTATTTAAACCATAATCATGTAAGCAGTTGGGCAACGGTTCTCACAGTAACAGGAATTAACACTCACCTGTACGGCTTGTTTAATCATGGATGGTGGACCCACCCTGGTTTCTGTTTTAGTACATCTGAGCAAGGTTGTTTCCAAATAGTTCCCAGCTGAGATACTGCTTGTTGGGACCAATGTCTGACAACTACTGTGTGGTATCTGATAAAAATCTGTTAAGAATGTAGAGTCCTGGGTCCAAGCTACAATTAGAATTGCTGGAGCTGGGGTCTTCATCTCTATTTAAAAACACTCCCAGGAAAAAGTATGAGAACCACAATGTAAGTATCAGTATGACAATTTGGCTGGTTAATCTGACTGTTACTGGCCAATGTACCAGATGTCACATTTCAGATACATGAAAATGAGAATGCCAAATGACCCCCAAGCTGGCCAACAAAAAAAAATACACATGGTTTGAGTATGAATCCTAGTTCTGTTACTTACTAGCTTTGTGACAGAGCAAAAGTTACTTTAATTCCCTGAGCCTCAGTTTCCTTATCTATAATATGGGAATAATACCCAGTTAGTGAGGATTAATACTACTATACACAGAATAAACACAGTACCTGTATACAATAGGCACTAGATAAATACTATTATTTGTTGTAATTAACATACACAAATCTTTTGCTATCTGATTTGATCATTTCACTCCTTTAAATACTTACACTCCACAAGAATAGAACAGTAAAACCTTATACTTTATTGCTCCCTATGCTAGCCTAGACAATGTATATTACATATATATGTGTGTAATATACATATATATGTATATATATATATACATATTTATTAATCCTCATAAAAATCCTATGAGGTAGGTAGTATTATTATGCCTACTTTATAGATGAGGAAATTGAGGCACAGAGAGACTAACTGCTCAAGGTTACAAAAACAGTAACAGTAATGAAACAAAAATTTAAAACTCAGGCAGTCTGATTCTAAAGTCCAGGATTCATCACAGCAGTCATTTCCTATGAGTCAATTTTAAGTTTTTTTTCAATGTTTATGATGAACTATTTACACTTCTAATAAAGAACAGCATATATGGGGCTGGGAATTTAGCTCAGTGGTTCCACCAAATGCCTCGCAAACACAAGGTCCCAAATTCGATCCCTCGTACCAAAAAAGAAAAAAAAACAAAAACAACCACACAGCAACAACAAAAAAAAGCATCTATGGACCACAGATAAATTCACAGTCACACTATAGTAAAGAGTTGTTCAAAGAATAGAATGAATATCTTGAAATTTTGGTATATATCATTAAAAAATAGGTAAAAGTTGGTGTGTGTTTTCATTACGTGAAAGAGTAATCCATAGTCACTAAAATTATTCTATCAAATATATCATACAAAGAGGTCATATGTTTTGGCAAAATAAATATAAGTTATTTAGCCAAACAACAGAATCAATGGAGTGACAACTAGATAAATTTGGCATAATCAAAATCATATATAACATTAAAAATAATCTACAGAAAATCTGTAAAAATACTGTTATACACTTGTAAAGACTGAAAAAGTTAAATTTTTCTTTCTTTGAAAAAACCCTTCAAACAGAGTGACTAAATTAGAATGAGACATTCACGAACATGTTTTGATAGTAGTCTTGAATGGGTATTCTGTCAGAATTATCCACTAGCGAGACTTTATTCCAAAATAAGTTAACATCAAACTTCGGGTTGTTGTTCATACATTACTTGGTCTTTTAACATATTTTAGTTTGTTTAAACACTCTATTTTCTAGTGCATTTAATTAACTCTGGCCAAAACCTTAATTCAAAGTATCTTGCAGGTGTAATAGCCACCTCAAACCTAAACATGAATTTAAAAAATTTTAACCAAGTTATGAAAGACACAAGCAAGTTCTCATTTTTCAAAAGAAGAATGAAAAGAATAATTATATAGTTGGAAGAATTTTAAATAATCAACTAAAAATATCTGTAAAGAAAAGCATGCCAAAATAGCATTAAATTTACTATTAATTACCCATAGTTAATTAACAATGGGTAAATTTTGGAACTAAATATTTTAAAATGCTTGCTTACAGACCATTTATGTTTTAATAAATATTAATAGTGGAAAATGGTATTCAAGTGGTTAAACATTTAGAAGAGACAACAAACTCAGTAGAAGATTAATTAGAACCAAATATATTGAGGCCCATAATTTCAAAATGTAGTTTTATTAATGCACTTTAATAAGTGCCATTCTTATTCTATCTTCAAGAAATAATGCTAATTATAAATAATCACAGCAAACTTTTCATTAGACAACTGGTGGGGAGAAGTGGTTCATTTATATCATACTGCAAATAAATTTATAAACAATACTGAGCAACAGTATTTCCTTCTAAAATTTTAAGGCAGATCTGTTTAGCATTGTGTGTAACTAATGTGGTACACTGCAGTTATAGCAAATTTAACTGTTTTAGTTTCTCAGTAACAGTAATACACATGGTCAAGAACAGGTGACAAAATCTCTTTTCTACTTCTTCTACCTGCCACCCCATTAAAAATACAAATTCTTATACAGATTTATATATTACTGTATCAAAAAACATTTAACAGCTTATTTAAAGCTTTAGTTTGCAGTCATTCATTTGAAAGATTTCTATATGGAACATCACTGGGATTTCAAGGTTCTGTGTCAGAGATGCAGAAGTCTTTCTTCAGTGCAACGTCAGACTTTTTACCTTGGCTCATCTGTGTTCCTTTCAAGGATTTCATAATTTCACTTTTGGGTCTTCATTTTTGTTTACTTGACTTACTTCCTTTAGTACGTTCTCAGGTAAGGCAGGTTGATATCTATACAAATAACCATATGCACGAAGATGGTAAACGAGGTATTCTAATTCATACATGGTTGTAGAATCAACATAGTGAAAAGAAACTGCAAGATCAGAACAGCAACCAGGACCCTAAAATAGTGGTGGAAAGACACTGTTAATAAAAAGCATATTAACATCCAATCATCACATAATAATTTTAAAAGATCCAAGCATTAAAGCTGGCAAAGTAAAGCAGAGTTATCTAATTTATTAGACATGTGAAAGAAACTAATATTTTGTTAAAAACTAAGAGTTCCTAGCCAGACATAAAATTGCTGAAGTATTTCTAACTGAAACTATTCTTTTATTTTTCAATGTTTTAGTAAAAAACAAGTTCCCAGGAAAGAGAGCCACAAATGAACACAAAGGGTTTAACTTGCTACTGGTATAGTTTATTTTATTTCAAATTTCTGATCCTTTCTGGGAGCAATTTTCATGACTGAAATATTGTAGTATACTGTTATTTTTAAGCATATAAGCAATAAACGACAAAAGAAACAGCTAAATTATAAAAAGAAATAATGACTGTGGTTACCAAAAACACTCAAGAGTGTCAAGAGGAAAATAAACATAAATAGGGAATTCTATAAATCAGATTATAAAGATGCTTAAAACGCTTTCATATATACCAATTAAAAAGGAAAGCTTTTAAAAAGCTTAAACAGAGTGTTATCAACAGAAAATACCTAAAGAGGTACTTAACAGATAAAGTTTCACAAAGCGTTCTAAAAAGGCAACCTAAAAAAAAATTTTGGACAAAAATATCACTGTCTCAAAATTAATGAGTTTCTATGCAACGATAAAGATATAAAGTTGCCAAAACATCTTCAAAGAGAAGAAAAAAAGGAGAGTAACACATTTTTAAATTAGTAACTTAAAGAGGGTTCACTAACAACACATTGCTGGGCCAGAATCTAGAATTGAAATTCCAGACACTGATGCTACTGTAAGTAACACAATGCATAATAAGGGAGGTTCTTTAAATCCGTCATGGAAGTGCATAAGACTCAGTAACAAATTATAATGAAACAAATATATTTCAGACAGATTATAGTAAATAAAACTAGGATAAATGATATTTGATCACTTCTAAACTACAGAAAAGACATTCATATGAAGAGGAATATATATATATAATTAATTATACAGTGGTACCTCAGTTCAGTAATGCTTTTCTTTACAAACAGTCTGGTTCACAAAAGTGTTTAGCAAAACTGTTTTTAGTTCTCAAACTCTGTATCAGGTGACAAACACACCCGCAAGTATTTCTCTCTCATAAATACAAATGTGGCCATCTTTTCCAAAATTGTAAAATAAATTAAGTTCATGAACCAAGTACCACTGTGCATCTATTTTCAATCTATTATGATTACAAATTCACTGGTGAAAGCCTTGTCTAAAAGGTTTTTAAGCCATCAGATGGTACGGGAAAAGAACTGCCTGAAGAATCTGTTCCAAACAAACATCTTAAGAATATAACTGACAAAGGTGACTATCTCTACGAAGTAGACTATCTTTATCCCTACTTGCCAGATAAAAATTTTTTATATTATAGTCTTAGTGATTTACTATAAAGAAAATGTATGCATGAAATTAAGAAAGGCTTTGAGAACAGTAACTCACCTAGGGAGAAAAACATTATTCAGTGATAGAAGAGTAACACCATTTTGGTTTCACTGGGTTTTTATACATCGTCCTGATACAGAACAGGCAATTTTAGAAGATGTGATCAATTTCATTACTTCAAATTTTGTTTTAGAATTTTCAGCATAATGGAATTTTTAAGAGGACCACAAACTTTACCATTGATTTAGAAACCACTATTTAAATCAAAGATGTCCTCTACAAATTTTGTAAATAGGGGTAATACGTGGTTACAAAATGATGACAGTTATGATGCCCTTTTGCTACTTTACATGTACCCTATATTTCAATACACTCATGCTTTGAGATATATTTGTACATGTTTTGTAATGTTTTTAAATTTTACATGGGAATGGGTGCAAAATTTAGAAGGGGGATGGTCAAGTCATCTTGCAATGACCAGAATAGATTAAGAAAAGCATATATCAAAAAAGCAACCAAAGTAGTACCTCAGAGATACAAAAGAAAATCATTACCAAAAAGCAGATTGGGAATACCATACTTCTATTTCAGTCTTAAACTGCTGCAGCTATGACAGCAATGAAAATACAGCAAAAGCTTCAACAATCTCATTACGTAGAACTGAAATTAAAATGTTCATTTATTAAAGTGGACTTTTACCACAATAATAGTTGTTTTAATGGATATACTCTACTACTTTGTGGGAGCCAGTCATGGCCCACTGGGGTTCGACAGATAAAACTTCTTTCTTTATAACCAAGGCATTGACACAATGTGTGGTCAAAATGTTCCTGATTAACATTTGTTAATAGTTGTTCCTTTTCAAGGACACTGATTGTTAAACTTGTTTGTTCTTTGACCCTGCGATGGGAGGAACTCAGATAGCCAAAGATCTGACATTATCTGTAGGAGTCAGGTGCTTCCTGTTGGTGTGCCTTTAAAAGGAGCTGTTTCTATGAAATAAATCAGACTTCTCTTGGTCTCCACTCAGGCATGAGTGTTCTTTCCTTTCTCAATCCTCAATCCCCAACTCAGGCATGTTCGTGTTGTGACGGCTGGACCGCCACACTACTTCTTGTGGAACATTATCCTATTGGTCATAGAAAGAAGCTGATGAGCAGTACAAATCAAACAAAAGCTTTTAGAATCACAATGGTTTGCAATACTTCCTAGTCCAGTGATGGTGAACCTTTTAGAGCTCTCACTGATACAAACAGCCCAGTGTGGCACTTATGCCACAGGTTTTGCCACCACTGGCCTAGTCAATTATCAGGTTAGGCCAATTACTGAATTTTCCTGAGCCTCAGTTTTGCCACCTATTAAATGCAGAATTGTTGCAAGGATTAGCTACTCATCATGTGTGTGTAGACACAAAAAGCATACAGGTGGCTAACAGCACAAACAGTAGTGATATGCTGAAATGTTGGGTCACATGTTGTAGGCCAGGCTTTAATTTTGGCACTACTGATATTTTGTAATAGTTAATTATTTGATGGGTGTGTAAGCCTGTTTTATGCACAGCAGGATGGTTAGTAACTAGTAGGTTTCTACTTACTAGATGCCAAGTAGCAACCTATTTGTAAAAACTGAATGTTTTCCAGACCCTGCCAGATATCCATGGAGGAACAAAAGCACTTCTGTTAGAGAACCATTATTCTAGATGACAATTTGAAAGCATTGGCTTGTGAAGAGAGTGGTACAGCGAAGTGTTTTATTAAAATGAGGCAGAGAAAAGGTATAGAGAACTAGTGACTTGCCTAAAGACATTAATGAGAGAGTTGAGACTAAAAAGTAGGTTTCATGATTCCTAGTCTCAATCAGATATTCACTGTAGCAGTCAGTGCTCATAATAGTGAAAAACTGGAAACAATATGCATTCATATCAGCATGGAACAAAGTATGTTTATATATAAAATATGTAACAGTTTAAAATAATAAAGTAGACACATATTAACACTGTCAAAGTGTGAAAAGGGAAAATGGAAAGATGGATGTGGTCTAATTCTATTAATTTAAAAGTCTGCAAAACAATACTATATACAGTGCTCATTAGTGAAAAACTGGAAACAATATGCATTCATATCAGCATGGAACAAAGTATGTTTATATATAAAATATGTAACAGTTTAAAATAATAAAGTAGACACATATTAACACTGTCAAAGTGTGAAAAGGGAAAAAATGACACCAAAGAAAAATGAACGTGTGATTAATGAGTCATAAATTTAGGATAGTGTTTAATTCTAGGGAAGGAGTAAGGGAACTAAAATGGGGAGGGTATACAGGCTTCAAGTATAACATATTTCTCTTTTGAAAAAATTTAAAGCTAATTCACAAAAGATTAACATTTGGTTAAACTGGGTGGTAAAAGTATAAGGTGTCAAATTATTATCAAATACCTGTATTCTTGAAATATTTCATCAATAAATTTTACATAAATTTCTCAGGAATGTATCTAAGGTACCACATGAAAGCTGCAGCTTATTAAATGCTTACCATGTGATAGGCTGTAGTACACATAATTACAAGTAAATGGAACAAATAGATCATGTCCATTTTACAAATGAGGAAACAGACCTTAGCCAAATTCTGTTCATTCCATGGTCACTTAATTAATAAACAGGAAAGCAGAATTTGAACCTAGGTCTTTCTGAACCTCAAAGTCTTCTCACAAGTTGTTCCTGATGATTAGAAGGCTCGACAACAGTAACTCACAGAGGGAGAAAAACATTATTTAGTGACAGATGAGTAACCAGATCTTCAGTTGGCTCTCTATCCTCACCCAAGTTTTTGTTCAAAAAGCATCTCTTAGAAAAGCCTTGCACTCACTATAGGTAACTTTTAAGGATATTTTTCTTCAAAGCACTTTAAGAGTACCTAAAATTATATCCTTATAAGTCTGCTTGCTAATGGTGTATTTCCCCATCCAGAATATTCAGTTCTCAAGAACTGAAGCTTGACTGTATTTGCTTTTACACTGTCAATGCCTGGCATACAGCAGTATCAAGAGACACTGGTTAAATGACTACTGCGGATTCCCATTCTCGTTTGCTGTTATACTGCCATACAAAAATACTAAGGGAGACTTCTGCTTATTGATACTAAAGAAACATAAACATACTAGCTAGTTTGTTATTTTTAAAAAGTCAACAAAGTAAATAGTCTCAAGTACTTATACAGTAATAAAATTTCCAAACTTACCTCTACAGGAGGATAATAGTTATAATTCCAGTACCAAAAGGTTCTGGGTAGATAACCTTTGATTAAATGGTGTTCTGGTACAAAGGGATGAAAAGTTTCCTTTCCTGTGGTGTCTCTGGAATCTCCAGCTTCTACATTCATAACTTCCATGCATTTTCCCAGAGCTAGGTCTTCAATGGAAGAACTATGTGTGCACTTTTCTGTTTTAAATGCATCAATAAATCTCTTCAAGGCTTCTTTGCTTAGTACATATCCTGCTCCGCCACTCATGTAACCCTGCTTCACATAGGGCTTAAATCTTCTCCCAAAATAAATGGGTTCTTCAGGACTATATTTTGAAAGAAGCCATCTCAAATTGTCTAGTATGACATATGTATCATCGTCTGCTTTCAAAAACCAATCCGCATCTTCTAAATAATGGTCATGAACATACTGAAAAGCTTTAATTGTTTTCCAGTATAGTTGATCTCTACCCTCTTTGGTTTTTAATCCCACAGCAGGGAAGTCTTTGTTTTCTTCTGAACTCATAAATAACACTTTATTACAACGCTGGGCCCATGTAGCTTTGACATGTTTGGCCTTTTTCTCTAGATTTTGAGGGCCCGTCATAACCCAACAAAGAATTTTAACTTTCTGGTACAGGTTTTCAGCGATGTCTGTATTCTCATCTAAAATTCAAATATAAATTAAAGAATAAGAAAGGAAGACTTTTCTCTATTTAGCCATCTATTATTACTGATTTAGACGAAATAAAGCAAAAGTCAACCTAAAGGTAACGAATTCTGAATTACTGATTTCATGTCAGTTTTACCCAGATCATTAAAGCTGTCTCTAGGACTCACATTCTTACCACTCAGATGTTGTCCATGGGGCAGGACCACCGGAGACTGTCAGATATGCAGGATCTCAGGCCCTGCCTTAGAGCTGCCAAATCAGAATCTGAATTTTAAAAGTTCTGGTGATTCATACACATGTTAAATATTGCTTTAAATAATCTCTTCTTGGCACTGCATACTATAAGGAAAGTTTCAGCTGTTATTCAGAACATTCACATGAATTTCTCACTGCTGAGCTTTTGAAGGGAAGGAAAAAACATGCTGCTGAAGAGGCAGTTCATTTCTGAAGGTCGTTAGAATCCATGGTTTCATGCTAACATGGTTCCAACAAGAGTTAATGCAGGTTTGAGATTACTTTTGCTAAATTCTAAAAACTTCATTTCAAAATGCAAATCCACGAATCAGAAATGAACAGAACAGGTATAATTTCCAAGACTGTTTTAAAAGTGTTTAAAAAACTAGTAGTTTGCAAAGAAATAAGCTCATGGCAGAATATAAATCAACATATTCAACATATTCCTTCTTTCATCAAGGAAGAATTCTGATCAAAGTGGGGAGGCAGAAGTCCACTTAACTAAGCAGTAAGCTTAGGGACTTAAACTGACTTAAATCCTAGCATAAGCTTCTTATCAAACAATTCACAGGCTGTCAGGCCAGGACCACACTATAGTACTGGTCTAAAAGAAGAAGCCAATTATGAGATGCTAAACTAGTACTTCTCAAACTATCTGTGGTGAAGGATCAATTTTTATTTAATTATTAAACATGATAAAAATCAATGACTCAAAAAATATCGAAAGGTCTAAAGTCTTTATTTTCAGATTCAGACAAAATCACTATTACCATAAAACATTTCTGCTTATTTCAAGTAGGGACTTAAAGACTTAAATGCTAGCATAAGCTTCTTATCAAACAATTCACAGGCTGTCAGGCCAGGACCACACTATAGTACTGGTCTAAAAGAAGAAGCCAATTATGAGATGCTAAACTAGTACTTCTCAAACTATCTGTGGTGAAGGATCAATTTTTATTTAATTATTAAACATGATAAAAATCAATGACTCAAAAAATATCGAAAGGTCTAAAGTCTTTATTTTCAGATTCAGACAAAATCACTATTACCATAAAACATTTCTGCTTATTTCAAGTTTAGTTTTAATACATATATTTAGTCACTGAGTGTGCAAATCACACTGATTAGCAATGCTATAGTATCTTAAGGAAGGATAACCTTAAAGTCAGAATCAAAGAGTGGGTTTCAAAATCTCAGTCATGTAAGCCAGGAGTGGTGGTGCAAACCTGTAATTCCAGCACAAAGAATCACCAAGAGTTCAAGGTATGCCTGAGTTATATAGTGAGTTCAAGGCCAGTCTCAACTATGTAATAATAAGATACTGTCTTAAAACAACAAACTTAGTCCTGTGGAAAAAATTAACAATACTGGCATAATTCACTAGTTAACTGATTGAGAAGGGAAAGGAGAAAAGGCAGAATATCAAGAATTCACAAACATAAAGGCCATTATACCTCTATTTTCAGCAAGAAAGCACTGAACACTGATATACCTGAGCTCTTAGCTATATAGACAAACCAAACCCTGGAAAATGGAGAAAGTAGTACATGGAGGACCCTTCTCCCCATTCTACCAATCTGTCTCAGGACACAACAGTGTTGATACTCTCACTTTCAATTATTTAATAATCACTTTGTAACAAAGTGTGCAGGCACTGGAGGAGACTCATTTCTTGCCACAGAAGAATTTACAGCTTAGCAGGGGAGCCTGATATGCAAACCAGTAATAGCTACATACAAAAAATGCTAATGGAAGTATGTACAAAGGGCTCAATGTACTGAGAGAAAAAAAAGAAGTGGATGGTTCAGCCTATAGAGCAGTGACATTATAACAAAAGAGATGATGTGGAAAGTCTAAGTGAAGAGAAGCTCACAAAAAGGACAAAAGGTATGATAAAGTATAGCTGAGTGCAGGTATGTGGGTATAGCTGAAGGCCTTGTGAGGGGAAATATACTGTGAATTGAGAGGAAACATTCTAAAAAAATGGTTAAAAAAAGTAGAACTGTTAAAATTTAGTGATAAATGAAACTGACTGGAATGTTAAGGAAAGTATATATCATGATTTCAGTTTCCAGTTTCCAGAAAATGCAACTGAGAAAATCCTGTTAAAAGGTAACAGGCCTACAGAAGATGAAGTCATTATACCACTACCTTAGTTTTTTTACTTCCTTAGTTTTGTTATTTTGAAAAGAAGAAAAAATTACATATGTATCTATGGCCATTTGTATTATTATCAGTAGTTAATGTAATCTTTTTTTTAAAAAAAAAAGAAAACAAGACAATAGCAAAAACCACCAACACAGATATAACAGTAATAGAATTGGGCCTAAGAAACTATTTTTAAAAACCCTTTGTTTTCACTAAATCAGTTTCTATTAAAATTAACATATTACTGCCCAAATAAATCTATGTTTTAACAACTTCTTTCTCCTGAAGCAATACAAAGATTTTATTTTTTATTTATGTTTTTGGTACCAGGGATTGAACTCAGGACCAATTCCCAGCTACAAATTATGTTTTAACACCTGGAATAGAGAGCTCATTTTGGTCAATAGCTATAAATGGTCATATAAAAAAGTTGTGTAGTATCTAGACTGAAATACTCCTTAATAACATAACCCGTACCTCTATGTTGGCTAGAATCTGCATTGAAGTTCATTTGTCCTTCTAGATGATTTTGTCCGTTATCATCCAAATGTCTTGCATGAGGATCATTATGAAGAATATTAGGCTGGGTGTCACCTTGTTCTCCCAACAAAATACTAAATAGCTGAGAACATAAAAAAAATCCTATTGCTGATCCACAGAGGAAGGTTAAAAAATTCAGCCAAGATTTAGAGGCCATTTCCTGAAAGTGTATTTCTGTTAAAAAAAAAAGAAAAAGAAAAAGCAGGATGTTATAAAATTATAAATCAATAAACATAAGAGTAAAAAAAGTGTGATAACTTTCAGCTATCACAGAAAGTTAATTTCTTCTATATAGAAGAACATTTCCAATAGTATTTAACTTCTGCTTATCTATGACTATTTCCTGCTGTAATAGCATATTATAGATAATAGAATAAAACAAGTGACTAATTAGCAAAATAATTACTGTTGGCATGGGTGAATGCTGGTACTGTCTTTGCATACACACTTCCTATTTTTCTCATGAGTATCCTTTGTGAATCTCATGCCTCTTTGTCATAATCTTTTTCCCCCCTTGGCTGTCAACTATGAGTACTGAAATCTACCCTGACGGTCACAGTATTCAGCAACTATTCTCCAATCCAGAAGTTACTCATTTTCTTCTGTAAATGACTAGAAATAAGATGCTTCAGGCTTTGTGGACCATGTCATCCCTGGTGTGTCTTGTTCTAAAAAATTTAAAAAAATGTAAAAGGGATTTAGCTTGTGCAGGGGTTAGCCTGCCACATGTTTTTGTAATTAAAGCTTTATTTGCATATACTCAGCTCCATTCATTAATGTGTGTATTCTGGCTGCTTTTGCACTCCAAATTAGAGTTGAGTTGTTGCAACAGAGGAAACAGCCTTACCTGACTGAACCTTTTCAGAAAAAATGCTGGCCTCTGCTATAATTCCCTGGAAGTCCTGGACGTAGCTTCCCCTGCTTACCATCCTTCACTGTACTCTCACTGGACTCCAAGATGCTGAATGGCATCTACAGTACCAGGATTAATGCCCACAGTGGGGTCTCTGGAACATAGTGGCTGGTGAAAAGATACCTGTTGAACTGCCCCATAACCAAACACACAGGCCCTATTTAGGGGTTTGCTAGGAATTACTACACAATGCAGCAATAAATTCCCTGAGTGGTCCTTACTGTACAGTTTCCAACTTCTTGAGATAATTAAAAAAAATGTTTCTTGGTATCTATCATGTAAGAGGCTGTCCATCACACATAATTTCATTTTTCATTCTCACTATGCCCATTTTGTAGATGAGGAAACAACTCACACAGGCTGGCACAAAGAGGAAGAGTGAAAATTCTCGCCCAGATCTACCTGCTTAAGAAAAAGACCAGTACTTTATGTTACATTTCTCAAACCTGTCATCCAATCAGAAGTCAATGGACACATGTAACAAAGTCAGGAGTCTTGAGCGACAGGCCCTAAAATCAAAACTGCTTTGAGATATGTAAGGAAACAAAAATGTACAAAACAATAATCACCACTGCAACAAAAAAATTAAGTTTCACATGGCTGTATTTCCAGAATGTTAAATTCTTTTAGACAAACTGTCAGAGTACAATTATAAAAAAAAAAAACAACAAAAAATAAATGTTTAAAAACATACATATTTGAAGACACCAGTAAGAAAAGAAAACAATCAGTGGGGCAAAGTTTGGAAAAAAGAGAGTTGAACTGGGCACTTGTCACAGCTCTGACAATTATAGTTGTCCCTTAGTGTTCGTGGGGGATTGGATAAGTTCCAAGACTCTCCAGGGTTACCACAATCCACAGACGTTTAAGTCTCATATAAAATGGCAAAGTATTTGCATGTAACTTATATATATCCTCTTGTATAAAGTATCTCTACACTACTTATAATTCTTAATATAATGCAAACACTATAAATAACAGTTATTCTGCATTGCTCAGGGAAAGACAAGAAAAAACTTATGTTCAACATATATGCAACATACTCCCATTTTCAATCCATGTTGGAGTCACGGGTATAGAACCCAAAGATATGACAGCTAACTGCACTGATTCAGAAAGACAAAACAGGTGAGAGGCAATGAAACTAAGCAAAAGTCAAAGTCTTTCTAGAACAGGTCCAAGAAAACACTCCCTTGTGTTACACAATTTGTTTTTAAAATTAAAAATATTTTGTGATGCTGTTTAATGTCGCTATACCCTTCTCAGAGTATTACCATTGAAGCATATGTACATGCTGGGTTTTCCTTGTTGATTTTACTTCATCCTCTCCCAATTTCAAGGACTTCTACCTTATGACTAAATATCTGTAAAGTACATTTCTTTTCTGATGATAGTATAAAAGTCATCTCATGTAAGTGGAATACACCCTTCACCCCAAAGACCTCTCAGAGTTCTAGCAAATATCATCATGCCTCCCTCTTCAGGTTCTTCACCAGAGTGGTGAAGTAGGACCAAACTGGAAGAAGAGATTATTACTTAACCATGTTGCACAGGAAGGGGATTTCTGTATTTATTCGAATTGGGGAGGGGGTTATTTATGCCTGGTATTTTCTAAACCTGATGCCTCAGCAGAATCACCTGATGAGCATTTTAAAAATGCAGACTTCTAGACTTGAGAACTTGGTAATTCAAATGCAAAAATATTGTCTGGAAAACAAAATTTTGTGTTATGCACTGTAAAGAAAATACTCAAATCAAAGAAATGCATGAAGAAGGAAGAAATCTCCCCAAATCTTACCACCAAGAAGTAACCATCATATGGAAAACACAGAAGAAATGGACAGATTTCTAGATACTTATGAATTACCAAAGTTGAACAAAGAAGATAAAAACATTTTAAACACCCCAATTACAGTCAAAGAAATTGTTGGTAAATTTTTAATTACATTTTCAAAGAAAAGCCCAGGCCCTGATGGATTCTCTGCTGAATTTTATGACATTTAGAGAAGAACTACTGCCATTACTCTTCAAACTTTTCAATGAAATTGAAAGGGAAGCTATACTTTCAAATTCATTTCTGGAAGCAAGTATCACTTTGATTCCCAAAGCAGGGAAAGATGCAACTAAAAAAGAGAACTACAGGCCAATCTCCTTAATGAATATAGATGCAAAAATCCTTAATAAAATACTAGCAAACAGAATACAGAGGATTATCAAGAAGATCATCCATCCTGACCAAGTCGGATTTATTCCAGAGGTGCAAGGGTGATTCAATATACGAAAGTCAATAAATGTAATACATTATATTAATAAAGTCAACGACAAAAACCATATGATCCTCTCAATAGATGCAGAAAAAGCATTTGATAAAATTCAACACCCATTCATGATAAAAACCCTGCAAAAAATTGGAATAGATGGTCTATATATCTATTTAATAAAGGCTATCTATGAAAAACCATCAGCCAACATCATATTGAATGGCCAAAAAATGAAAACCTTCACGTTAAAATAAGGAACAAGACAAGGATGCCCTCTATCACCACTCCTCTTCAGTATAGTTTTGGAAACATTAGCCACAGCAATTAGATAAGAGAAAGAAATTAAAGTAATAAAGATAGGAAAGGAGGAAGTTAAACTCATTATTTGCTGATGATATGATACCCTACATTGAAGACCAAAAAAACTCTACCAAAAGACTTCCAGACTTAATTGACACTTTTAGCAGAGTAGCTGCATACAAGGTTAACACCCAAAAATCAATAGCTTTCTTGTACACAAATAACAGACTCACTGAGAGAGGAAAAAGGGAAAAATTTCCTTTTACAATAGCATCCAAAAAAATGAAGTATCTAGGAATCAATCTAACAAAAGAAGCAAAGATATCTACACTGAAAATTATAGCACTCTGAAAAAAGAAATTGAAGAGGATATTAAAAAATGGAAAGAACTCACTGAGAGGAAAAAGGGAAAAATTTCCTTTTACAATAGCATCCAAAAAAATGAAGTATCTAGGAATCAATCTAACAAAAGAAGCAAAGATATCTACACTGAAAATTATAGCACTCTGAAAAAAGAAATTGAAGAGGAGATATAAAAAAATGGAGAGATATCCCCTGCTCCTGGGTACGAAGAATCAACATAGTGAAAATGGCCATACTACCAAACCTGCTATATACATTCAATGCAATGCCATTTGAAATTCCAACACTATATTTCACAGAACTAGAAAAAAGAATCCAAAAATTCATTTGGAACCATAAGAGACCTAGAATACCAAAAGCCATCTTAG